CTCTCCTGCCCGGGCTGGCTTTGAACTGCGATCCTCAGATCTCAGCCTCCTGAGTAGCTAGGATTACAGGCGTGAGCCACCAGCGCCCGGCAACAGTCAACCTTATATAGAACACCCCCAGTACAGTCTACCTTAGTAAGTAGAACAGAGCCCTCCCCCAAGGTTACTCCAATTTTTTACATCCATCTTAGCATGGGATAGTGGCAGCAACTCTTGCCTTGTTATCCTGCCCACCCACTGTGTCATGCTAACCTATCTTACAGATTTAGGAAAACATCTGGAGAAAATACAAGTACATGTGAGAGAGTCAATACCCACAAGATGCCAGGACCAGACGGATGTGGGGAGTCATGGTTCACACACACATACCTGCCAGGATCATTATATTTTCGCCATCCACCTTACAACTCCATAGATTTAAATGAGAGAGTTGTTAGAACAGCTGCTGAGGGATTTAAATAAAGGCATCCTGCATGGAAGCCACATCAGTGAGACTGGGGCATGTATCCCATGATAGCCTTTATATCAGATCCAGAGATGGGAGTACTACCTAGGCAAACCCTGTTCTGCAGAGCTCCTTAGGAACAAGCACTCAGAGTCAAGTGTGGAAACCCCAGGATAAACAAAAAGTGTTGAAACCTTTCAGTGAACTTACCTGTGTCACATTGTTGGGGTCTTGGCAGAGTTGTCAACAGAATGTCACCAAAGAATTGATCACCTGTCTTTGGAACCAACCCATGCCTTGAATTAGAGCTACTTATGGGCATATTTTGTAAACACTTAGAAATAAGGGACTTGAACTCAGGGCCTGGGCACTATCCCTTAGCTTTTTTTGCTCGTTTTGGAGGATTGGTGGTTAATTGGAGATTAGAGTCTCAGAGACTTTCCTACCCCAGCTAGCTTGAACTCAGATCTCATTCTCCAGAGTAGCTAGGATTATGAGTGTAAGCCAACCAGCTCCAGGCAATATTTTGGAGGTTTTTTATTTTTTTAATGTGACCACGTAAATTCTAGTTTACCCTTCTGCACTTGGGATCTTCACAGGAGACTCAAACTTATGGTGAGAACAAACTTTGGTACACTTGTTCCTCATCGCTTCATCTTTTCCATGCTTCTCCCAGTTTTTCCTGCCCATCTCCACCCACACATTGTATAGTTCATTTCTACCTAGTGTCTAGTGAGTTCCACTGCTGTATTTGTTCCTTTGCTGTGTGTGTGTGTGTGTGTGTGTGTGTGTGTGTTTGCCAGTCCTGGGGCTTGAACTCAGGGCCTGGGCGCCGTCCCCGAGCTTCTTTTGCTCAAGGCTAGCACTCTACCACTCGAGCCACAGCACCACTTCTGGCTTTTTCTGTGTATGTGGTGCTGAGGAATTGAACCCAGGACTTCATGCATGCTAGGCAAGCGCTCTACCACTGAGCCACCTTCCAAGTTCCTTTGTTCCCCCTTTGTCCCGCCTTTTTCGTGCACCCCCTCTACCCTCCCAAACACAAATAAACGACAAAAGGAAGAGACAGCAACAACAACAACAACAACAACCATCTCTTGTTTCCATTCCTAGCAGTTCATTTCACTATGGGACAGGATCAATTATCCAAGTCTCCAGGATTGGTTTTCTTCCACTCAGACCCTGGTTATCCTCAGGGCTACCCTTCCCCCCACCCCCCAGGTCCCTCCTCCCTCTCTCCCGAACCTCCCAGACCCCCTATCTTCCCCCCCCCCCCCCCAGCCCTGGATGCTGGAGACTGTGCGGCCCAGCTGGCAGGTAAAGACCTCGGTCCGCAGCCGGCGGCGCTGCTCCCAGCGTCCTGCAGGGGGCGTCCGCGTGCCGGGCTCGGCCCGGCCACTCCCCCGGCCTCCGCGTGGTTCGAAGCGGTTGCGGTCGGTATATAAGGCGGGGCACCGGCTGCACCTGGGCGTTGAGCATCTCCTGCGCCAGCCGCCCCTGGTGAGTCACCTGCCCGGCCTTTAGAGCTTGTTGAACCCAGCTTTGGTACCCACCGAGGTGGGTGCCCGTGGTGGATGATGACCTGATGCTCATTCTGGGCTTGTGGTTTGCTTTCCTCCTCCCAGTGTGGCATTCATTCATTCGACGCGGTGGGGAAGTCATCATGGGTGTCTTCCAGATCCTGATGAAGAAGAAGGAGGTCAGTTTGGGTTTCCCAAGCCATGGAGGGGGAACATGTGAAGTATGCGTGTTGAAAAGGCCTGGTGGGTTTTTGAAGACTGAAGACGTGGTGTGGTGGTTTTGGGGGGGGGGGAGGTTTGCGGTTGAATCTAACGCACCTGACCTGTTATTCCGCAGCTCATTCCTTTGGCAGTCATCATAAGTGTGGCTGCGGGTGGAGCCTCGTCTTTTGCTGTGTATTCGCTGAGAAACAAAACCGACGTGATGTAAGTAGTCCTCGTGGAGGAAGGTAGTTGGATGGTGTTGATGGATCTTCAGTTGCTGAAGCGCATGGCAGTCCAGTTCCTAACCAACCCCCCCACCCCCAATCCTCAGTGGATTGAATGGTAGACTAGGAGTCAGGATTAAAAAGTATTCTGACACCAGACTATTACATGATATTCATGCCTTTGGTTTGTTCCTCTGTCTGAGTAAAGCCCTTTCATTTATTGGCCCTCTCCCTTTTTCTTCAAGTGAAGTAAAATCTGATTTTTTTTTAAAAAAATAAACTTGTTTTGGAATGCAAAGTTTTTTAAAATGATTTTGGGGGGTATATACATCATCAAATATAAAAAATTTTTGTTTTAAAATTTTTTCACTTAGTAGAAAGATCTTTGCAAGTGTGATAGGGCATTTAATTGTCTATAATGGACTCTTAATCTTAACTTCGGGAAAAGCATGAGGAACATGAAAGAGGGAGATAGAAAACCAGCAGTAGTCTGGGGAGGGTGGGGGAGGATATTAAGTCTAACCACTAGCAGAAGGCACAGAACCCTGGAGTTACAATGAGATAGCAGTGGAGAGTTGAAACTTTGCTCTGGGTCCTTCCCAGAAGCCTGGCATAAACTTACTAGTGCCTGCCCTTAGCCTAGCATTACCATCCCTATTGTATGCTGTTTGCATTCTCCAGTCTAGCCCAGTAAAGGGAAGAGTCCAGTCCTACAGAGAAGAATTGATATTTAATGTTTGAACCAAACCATGGAACTCCCTCAATGGACTTTCCATTCATTTTAGTTACTAATGGTGGTCCCTAATTGTTCATTAATAAGTGAATACCTCAGTATGAAGACTTTCTCCAGCAACTTTTAAACTCTATACACTGTTAGTTTAAATGCACTTAACCTAAATTATCCTTTTATTTTTAGTATTGACCGGAAAAAAAATCCAGAACCTTGGGAAACTGTGGACCCTAGTGTACCTCAAAAGGTATTGACAATATATATATATATATATATTTTTTTTTTTGCCAGTCCTGGTG